CAACAACCAATGTTTATTGAGCGCTTACTTACTCCCAGGTATTGGGTGACTTAAGGTATGTAGTTGCATAATTTTGCAGATATTATGTCAAATTTTTTTCCTTTGCTAAAAAGTGGGGGCAACCATTATGTGAAGCCCTATTTTTGTTTTGGTTGGTTTTGGGGGTTGAACCCAGGGGTGCTCTACTACTGAGCTATATCCCCAGTTCTTTTTATATTTTGAGACAGGTCTCACACTAAGCCACTGAGAGTCTCACTAAATTGCTGAGGCTGACCTGGAACTTACAATTGTCCTGTCTCAACCTCCTCTTGCTGGGATTAGCTGGGATTATAGGCATGTGCCACCATGCTTAGCTATGTGAAGCTTTTAAAAAAATTATTTAAAAATAATTTGTTACTAAACTATATTTGGTGCAAGATTAGGATGCATGGAATCCTCCTGAACACGTGTTAATGTGGTGGTGACAATTATGCAGTAGATTACGGTAATACAATTTTATGTAATCCCAACAACCTCATGAGGTCACTGCCCTCACCCCCAATTTACACAAGAGGAAATGGAGGCTTAGGGAGGTGAAGCAACTTGGCTCAGGCAGCCCCAGTAGTTGCTGAGCTGGCTCAGGCCTGCCTTGTCACTTTGGGTCCTAGTTCAGGAGTTTAGGCCTCCTGCTGTGACTGGGGTTAATGGAGGGAGAAGGGCTTTTTTTTTTTTTTTTTTTTTTTTAGAGATAGAGGTAGAGAGAGAGAGAATTTTAATATTTATTTTTTTTAGTATTTGGCGGACACAACATCTTTGTTTGTATGTGGTGCTGAGGATCGAACCCGGGCCGCACGCATGCCAGGTGAGCGCGCTACCGCTTGAGCCACATCCCCAGCCCGGGAGAAGGGCTTTATATGGGGAAGCCCCAGAACAGGGTTGCTGTTCCTCTGTTCCCATGAGTGAAGGTGGGTGAGGCCATCAAGAAATCAGGAGGCTCATGCCTATAATCTCATTGGCTTGGGAGGCTGAGGCAGGAGGATCATAAGTTCAAAGTCAACCTCAGCAATGTAGTGAGGCTCTAAGCAACTTAGGGAGACCCTGTCTCAAAATAAAAAGAAAATTAAAAAGGGCTGGGGATGTGGCTCAGTGGTTAAGATACCCTAGGTTCAATCCCTGGTACCAAAAAAAAAAAAAAAAGTCAGGAAGCCTACCTCCACCTAGACTGGGCTAGAAAGCCCAGTGTGGATGACAGGGCTCCAGGAACCCCTTACCCTCTGCCCTGTGTGGTTCTCGACCTGGTGGGCTGGTCCTCCCAGCCCTGTGCCAGCCAGCCAAGTGCACTCTGCGTAGCACCTTGTCACTTACAAGAACTAACAGAACAGTTCCCACACTGCAACAAATTCTTACATGCTTTATGTGGGAAAGGGATGTCTTTTAAGATTAAAAAAAACCAAAAACCCACAACCTTACAACCTTCGCTGATAGTTTCTGGAGTAGCAGGGTGGGCCACCTTCTGGTATATGGGGATTTTATTCAGGATGGGCTTCACAGTGCTGACTGGGTATGAATAAAGCTGAGGAATTTGGCCACACAGAGCTGGGAATCGAGGATCTGGGCATAAATGTGCCAAACTCAGAATCTAGTGGGGATTAGAACTTCCAATTATTTCTAAAATTCTCTAGAATAGTACTCCTGTTTTATAGATGGGAAAAAATCAAATCTCCAAGAATGGCTGACTTGCTTGGCAATGGTGTCCCATCTTCCACCTAAGGAACACACACAAATGTGGGTGTCACACCATGATCTGGGGGAACCTGATTCTGTGCTCACCCAGGGCAGCCCAGAGATCAGGAGGCCCATGGTGTGATGGAGAGCACATGCTGTGCTGACCCTTCAGATCTGCCTCCCCCCCTCCCCCTCCCCCACCCTCTGGGACCCAGAAGCAGAACCAAAAGGGCAAAGGGAGGAGCTGGACACAGAGCCACCGGATGGTGGGGGGTGTTATTTGTGCGGGTGCCAAAGTCCAAAGGAAAGAAAAGGGAATGAACAATCGATGGACTCCGCACAAAGTTCACCTGAGTTTCTGCCTGGGCAGAGATGTCACGGGTGCGTCAAATTCTCCTCTACCCCTTGCCAATGCCAGCTTGGCAGTGGCAGGAAGTGGGAGCCCAGGGGCCTGGCATTCCCAGTACCCAGCTCTGGCTGGACAGGGCTCCTGGTGACCTCACTTCCACCAAACCAGTTGGTCCTCTCAGGCTCCACCTCTACCTTAGTGCTGAACTGTGCCCTTTCTCTGTCAATGAGTATCCTCCGGTCTCCAGAGACACCCCTGCCGGGCTGCAGGTAGAGAGCTGGTGCACCTGAAGAGGCCCTGCTCCCACATTTGGCACCCTGGCGCCACCCCCTTGCTCTCCTGGGATAAAAGTTCAGCACAACAGCTCCAGTTTTGCCAGTGGCCCCTCCTGCAGCTGATCCAAACTGGGATCCTTCGGGGAAAGCCTAAACATAAGCAAAAGCGGCCAGCCTGCCAGCAGTCCCAGAACCGGAGTTAGCAGTGACAATTGGGGGAGACCACTGCTCACGGTGAGCTCCCAGCTCCAGGGCTGGGCCTGGCAGAGTGCCTGCTCCCTCCCCCAGCCATCTTTCCCCTCCCCCTCCAAGGTCCTCCCTCCCGCTCCCTGAAGAGCTAGCGCTTACTCCTCACATTCCTAAGAATCATAAATCCTCCTGGGTGGCAGAGCCACCCCTCTCAAGACGCCTTGGCGCCTCCTCCCTATCCCCACCCCCATACATTGCCCCTAAGCGGTTGGGGCTTTCTCTTTCTTAGAAGTCACTCTGGACTTTGGGAAGACTAAGTCCAGCCCGACGAAGTTATAATAAACACAACAGGGGGCTGAGTGGCAGCGCGCAGGTGTGGGAGAGTCTCCGGGGGCCCTTCCTACACCGGGGGCTCAGCACTGAAAGGGGATTGTTATTCCTCCAGCTTTTTGAGTGGGACGTACTCGCCTTCACCCTACCTTCAGTTACCACCCACAGGGGCCGTAGACAAAGTTGGCACCTCTGGGGCAGAGGGGCCTTCCTTCCGCTCCGCTGCGGGCTGGGGTGGCCCAAGGGAGGGCCCCAGGAAGGAGCAGGTTTGGGTTCCGAGGGACAGGAGCCTTGGAAAAAGGCACTGAGCTCCGTTGCGCCGCCCTTCTAAATGGGCAAGGGGGCAAAGAAAGGTGCAGGCGGCAAAAGCGCTCAGACTTCCAGGCCAGTCTGGGCAGGGGGATGGAGTCACCAGAGCAGCCCCAAGCCTGCCCAGGACCTGAGGGGGCGCCGGGTCGGCGGGCGGAAGCAGTTTCCCTCTCGCCGCTAGAGCTTTAGGAGGACTGGACGTCCGGGGTGCGTAGATCTCTTCCCCCGCCTGGACTTACCCGCTCCGGCTGGCTCTTCTCGGCCTCACGCGGTTCATTTTCGGCGCCAGTTCCCTGCCCCTCGGTGGCGGCCGGCGATTCGGCCTGTCCTGGCCCTTCCTGGGCCCGCAGCAGCTCCTCCCCGACCTGGACGCCTCGTTTTTTCAGCTGCTCGTCAGCCTCGGGGTCCACCACCAGCAGGCGCACCGCGTTGAGCGCGGCGCGGATCCGGCTCACCACCTGCTGGTGGGTTTCCTTCTCGACATTCTCGCCGTTCACCTCCACCAGCCGGTCCCCAGCCAACAGTCCCGCTTTCTCAGCGGGCGAGCCGGGTTCCACCAGCCGGATAAACTGGCCCACCTTGCCCTTCTCCCCGTGCAGGTGGAAGCCGTAGCCGTTCGGACCCTTCTCCAGGCAGCAGAGCCGGGGCAGGGGCGCCCCGGCTGCCGCGTCCGCGCTCATCTCGCTCGGCGACTGCTCAGCAGCGAGAAGTGGGGTCCCGTCGGGGGCGGGAGACGCGACCGCCCAGCCTTTCTCTGCGCCCTAAGAACTGGGAGGCGAGAGGGAGAGCAGCAGGGAATCCCTGCTCAGCCGGACGGGCGGAGAGCGCAGGTGTCCCAGGGACGGAGACCGCGAACTACGAGGAACCGACGGAGGAAGGCGGACCAATCCCCGCCCGCGCGGCGTCTGAGCGTTCCAGAACCCGTCCAGCCCCTTGTCCTGGGGGCGGGGTCGCGCCGAGGGTGTGGGTTCCAGTAGGCCAATCAGGGGCCACGATCAGGGGCGCTCGGGCCGGGTGAACGACGCCGGCCAATGGGAAGGAGTATGGGCGGGGTCTGTGCTCGGTTCGGCGCCCCGCGGCGGGCGAAGAAAGAGGGCTCAGGAAGTGGAAGTGTTTGTTACCAAGTGCTGGAGTGGGGCGGGGCCTCTGTCCCCAGAGAGTGCCAGGTACCGAGAGGCCGAAGACTGCTGCTGGTTTCCCCTTTTGGCGTGGAATGAGGAGAGCTAGCCCCCTCTTTAAGCGCCCTCGTGTTGTAATGGCCTTTAGCCAAGCCTGTCTGTCGTAGCGCTGGGACGGAGGGGAGCGACAGTTGCCGGGGAAACCGCCCTCCCCCCGCCCTGCACTGGGGCAGCGAGGACCGGCCTTCGTAAGAACTGGACACAACAGAGTTGTTTAAATAACAGTGTCTTAAGACTTACGTCTAGGGATGAGGCTCCGATACCCGCAGAAGCGACAAAACTCAGTAAAGAGTCTGAGGCTTCACGCAGCCTGAACAAGACAAACCACCCAGGGCAATGTCGCACACTGGGTCAGCTTTTGGCCAGGGAATGGGGTGAAGACAGGCAGAATAGTCCAGGTAATCCGTCACAGGGTACACTCCACAGGGAAAGGAGCCCTGGCCTTTTTTCAACAGAGAAAGAAAAATGACTAGGACTGTAAAATAAGCCTTCCAGCTCCCTCTTGCCAGATGAGAGGCTGGTCACAGGGAGAGGCCAGGGTTAATTTACTCTGTGAGAACAATGAATGGTGATTTTGGTAAGGACATTTCCCCCCAAACGCGATAACAATCTCTTCAACGTGGTCCCTCCTCCCATGCGCACCTCAAACCAACAGTGGACAAGGTGTACTTTCCAAAATACTGCAGTTTAATTATGAAAAACACAAATGCTAGAGGCCCAGGGCTGTCTACATGATTGACTCTCCTGCTGCAACCTGCCAAGGGCCAGAGAAGAGACCTGGGAGGTCAGGCTCCTCCCTGATTCGCCTGGGAGAGGCCACTGAGAGCTTCCTTATCAATTCAAGTTGGAGCCACTGAGTGCTCAGAGATCAAGATTTCTGCCTTAAAAGCAAATGCAGCAGCCTCAGAAATGTCGAGCAAGTAGTACCTCTCCACCCCTCCCTGCCCTGCCTGCAGAGCTAAAGGAAAGGTGCTTACTCTAGGTCCTGACCTGCATATTTCCTGGACACAAGAACTCCTTGCTGCCCCTCTCCCCACCCCAGGTTTACCCACATGACCTTGTTTTGCACACACTGCATTGGTGCAAAGAAATGGGACCTTCCATTCGCTACCCTGACTCAGTAGGAGGGGAGATAAAGCAGTTTTGACCCTGGTGACTGACTATGAAGTTCAAAAAAAGGGCACATTGTTCAGGAAGGAAGGGGAGCTTGGGTTCAGGGAGCTAGACCTAAGGTTTCCTCAATTCTGCCTTCCACCTGCTCCAGGAGCCAGGGGCTTCTCTTTATCTGGTTCTTAACCCAATTGAGCTAAGTATTCCTTGAAAAAAATAGCTGCGGGGCTGAACACCTGCCAAAAGATTGAGATGGGAAGACAAACTTTTCCTAGCTCTGACCTCAGGTGTCTAGGGGCAGAGATGGAAACCAATGAGTCAGGGATTCAGGGGGAGTGGCTCCTCTGGAATCTGAGGTCCAGAAAACAGGAACCAATGTTTCCAAGTGCTGCAATGTGCTTGTACGCTGGAGGAAAAACAGCACACCTCCAGGAGTGGGTTTAGGAAAACCAGAGGTAGCCACAGAAAAACCCTAGTCCCTTCTACGCCTGTTTGCAGCTGGGCGGGCCCCTCCTAATCTCCACAACTCTTATCTTCCCTGAGTCTTCCTTCCAGCTCCCAGCACTAGGATCCAACTTATTGGCTAAGACTGTTTCCTGGGGAGCTGGAGAAAATGAAAGCTGGAGTGAGGGTGGTGATGGGGACACTAACTACTTACCCTCACACCCCAGAAGTGCACTGGTATCCCCTGTGCTGAGCTGGAGCGGCACTACCATGTCATTGCTAGGAGGATGGCCTAGCCTCTTAGGTCCTAGTCCTAAATCCAAAAAGGCAAAAGGGCCCCCAGGTCCCTCTCTCTCGGTTTTCTGGAAACCCTGGTATCTTTTTTTCTTTTTTAGCATGAAATTTTGTATCATTAAGATAAAATATAAGCGGTTTACCCTCCTCCAGGACGCAGGGAAGCTATAGGAGTGCTGCGGCCTTATGGGAAGGGGCAGTGCACTGGGCCCCCCAACTCCCTCCCCATTGACTCAGCCGCCCAGAATACACCAGTCAAGGGGAGACGGCTGCAGCTCCAAGGACTTCTGGGGCCTCCTCTCAGCTTGCGGGATTCACACAAAGGAGCAGCAGCTGGAACGCTTCTTCTGAGACTCCACGTAGTCTCGGATCTGGAAGCTGGGCCCATCAGCCTGCTGCCCTGCACGGTACTTCAGCTCCCTAGAAGAGGAAGAGGAAGAGGCGAGGGGCTGGCTGAGCTGAGGGTGCAAAGTTGAGCTTTTCCCCACCCCGTTCTCCTGGCCAGGAACAAATGGAGCTCAGAATGGAAGTGGGCCCAGGGCCTGGGCCAGGGGCTAGGCACTGCTGGGTTCCCAGATGCCACCCTGCCCTGCCCAGTTCCCTTCCCTGCTCAGCTCTCACTTGGCAATGGCCAGAAAGGCTAACTCCACGTTCATGCCTGTCTTGGCGCTGGTCTCCAAGAAGGGAACTCCGTACTCCTGCCAGGGAGAAAGTGTCCTCAGGGCAGCCTCTGGCTGCCCCCACTGTTCCCCTGCCCCACTGGCAGTCACTTACCCTGGCCAGTGTCTCTCCGTCCTCCGAGCGTATCACTCTTTCACTGCTCACATCCGCCTGTCAAGCCCATGTGGGTCACTCTGAGGAAGGAAGCCTTGACCCCAGCTGGCCCTTATTTTGCCCCAGGAGCAGGCACTGCCCGCCCTCTGCTGGTGACCAGAGGGACTGTGGGCAGGTGTGATTGGCCTGGGGCCAGGGTTTCTGCCTTGTGAAAGAGTACACCCTTCTCCCAGCCCTGGGATCCCAGCCCTGGGATCCCAGCCCTGGGATCTCACCCCTGGATCAGGGACGAGGGTAATTCTCCTTGGCAAAGGGTGTGGTGGAGACGCAATCTCAGGGGGTTGATAGCAGTTGGGGACAACGCTTTGTAGCCTTAGCTCTTGACCCTTAAACCTGTTCTCCGTGATCTAATGGGGGCTGGTAGCTGGGCAACCCTGAATCTCTTGGGCAGCAGCTTGGGCTTTCCTGGAGGGGGCTATTTCCAAAGCTTGCAGGGGGAAGGTAGGCTAGGCAGAAGTGGCCAGACATGTCTGACCTCTGAACAGGATACTGGAAAGTCCTTTGCTGGAGGGACTTTCCCTTTGGGTGGCTGTCAGGCACAGTGGGGCTGAAGCTGAGGCAGGGGGAGAGGGGGCGCAGGGTGGGCTGACCCTGCCACCTAGCCACTTACCTTGTTGCCTAGCAGCATGATCACCACATCCCTCTGGGCATACTCATGAATCTCTGTGAGCCAGGCCTGTGGGAGAGGGTGAGCTGAGCCAGGCCAAGGCTGAGGCCCAGGCCATTGTCCTCCATGGGTGCCCTGTTAAGGATTCTAAGACCACATATGAGCTCAGTGATCAAAGGACTATGATTGAGGGGCTGGGGATGTAGCTCAGTGGTACAGCACTTGTCTAACGTGCAGCTCTGGGTTTGATTCTCAGCATGCACATGCACACGTGCGCGCACACACAGAGTACTGGTTGATTAGTGATGTCTGCCATGAGCATGGGGTTGGAGGTGGTAACATGAGTGCCATAGATTTTCCAGCATTTTTATTTTATCTTTACGTCTAATTACCCGTTTGTGCGTTAGCACACTGCCTTTGAGGTCAGGGAGCACATGAAACCTACACACTGTTGTGCACAGAGCCAATATTTATTGAGCTACTGTCTCTTTCGTCTAATGTATGTTGTGAGGACATAGCCACTCTGTCTGCTTGAGTTGCACCTTGGGCTGAATGTCTGCGTAGACATTTCTGGCTGGGCTTTTCCCTGGGTCTCTGTAGATAATTGTCCAGGGTGGAGCTGGAACTGTTCTGAACACTTTGACATGAGACACATTCATGAATCATGGTCAGGACTATGCAGTGGCATGGGGCACAATGCCCTGCTTGGTCTCTGTGCCCACATGGCAATCAAATGCCCAGTCACAGTGAGGTATTTCTTGGAAGGTTGTGGGATTCCAAGACCTGCCCTGCTCTCACAGAGCAGGAAGCAGTTCTGGCCTGCATAGGCCCTGCCCTGGCTCCATAGGGGTGGGAGGGCGGGGCACCCTGGGAAGGGAGGACCTACCCTGATGTTGTCGAAGGAAGATTTGTTGGTGATGTCATACAGCAGGAGCAAAGCTGGAGGGGAACAGAGATGACAGAGGAGACTCAGGGCAGTAGCATGGGAGCTACAGAGGGGCTGGGGAAGGAGTGGAGGGCACTGGACTTACCCTGAGCATCTCGGTAGTAAGCATGTGTGACACTGCGGAACCGCTCCTGCCCTGCGGTGTCCCAGATCTAGGAAGGGGTGGAGAGGAGGTCAGGAGGAGGCAGGGCACTGGGACTGCTAGCTGGCTGGAAGGGTGCATTCTGTGGCATGGAGAGCTGGCTGGGAAGAGGGGACTGTCTCCTTCTGTAGGTTCTCATAGGCTTCTGAGAACTGGACAGTGGGAGGTATTAGCTTCTCAAACCCATTGAGGGCTGGCTGTCTCTTGCCCAGCCCAGGGGTTGGGGTGTCCAATCTCCTGAGTCGCTGTAGCCCAGAAAGCTGGGGAGGAGATGGAAGAGGGAGCTAAGCTCAGCTGAAGACATTTTGAGCAGCCTGTGATAGGAGAGAGGGTGCCTGGGAACCGCTTTTTCTGCAGACATCAAACAAACAAAAGCCATTTCCTCTCATGGGCCCCACAGGAAATTACCCCAGGCTGAGGGCAAGGCTTCAGGCCTCCTGTGGTTCAGGGTGAAGAGCAAGGGCAAGCTCTTCCCTCCTCCCTTCCTCACCCAGCCTCTCTCTCTCTCACCTGCAGCTTCACCCGCACACCATCCACGGTCACCACCTTGTTCTGAAAGAGAAAAGTGCAGAGGGTGGAGAGGGCAGGTGAGGCTCGGTCCTGGGCTCTGCCAACATTCTGTCATGGTCCCTACAGGCAGTGTGATGGGCCTCAAAGATGTCTTCAGCCAGATCACCCATCAGAGCAGCAGGGACCCTGTCCCCAGACACCCCCTCAGTGGAAATCTCTCTTCTCACAGCACAGCCAGGACAAGGGGAGCCTGAGAATCTGCCTGGCTCTCTCCAGGCCTCAGCAGGTAGCACAGGGTGGGGCACATAAGGCTCAGCCCCAGGACTGTCAGGGAACCCTGAGAGATGAGGTGTCCGCTGGCATCTGGGGCCCTCCGAGGCTAGCCAGGGCCATCTTCCCTCTAACTACTGATACTTCTCTCAATGCAACTTCAGCACTGGGAGGAGGCACTGAGCCCTCACATGGCCCCACTTGCCAAGGCTAGACCCTTCCTCTCCTGAACTCTTTGGGTGTGTGGTGCTCCTCAACCCTGTTGCAGATTTGTACAGAAGGAAGAGGGAGGGACCTGGTGAGCTGCTGCCTCCCCACATAACCAGCCCAGCTCCTAAGATTAGAGCAGGACAATGCTTCTTGAGTACTTGAGAAAGGGTGACTAACTTTAGGCCTTACCAAAGGGGCTCAGCTCAGAGGGCAGTGAGCAAGGGGCCTGCAGGGCCAAGAAGCAGCTTACTTCATGGAGTGGGTCTGCCCTGGCCTGGGACAGCCCCCAGGAACGGAAGAGAGGAAGACTAGTCTTGTTTTTCATGCCCTGTAGGTAGGAAGGCATCAACACCGCCCAGATGCCTCTAACCTGGCCACCTCAATGGCCCTGGGGCAGCATCCCGGTGCCCTCCAGGCAGGGAGCCATAGGACTCCTAGGGAGCCAGAGTGGGCAAGGAGAGGACAGCCCCCCAGCTCACTGCTTGGAGGAGGAGGCTTCAGCCACCTCACCCTGAAGTCTATGCCGACCGTGGCTATGAAGGTCCCGGACAGGAAGGCCCCATCTTTGAATTGGATCAGGAAACAGGTTTTGCCGACACCTGAGTCTCCCAGAAGCATCACCTAGGAGATGGGGCAGAGGCTGTTAATGGGCATTCAGAGGGAGCTCCCGGATTCCAGGGAGAGACACCCTGAAAGGGGGATGAGAGGAGGGGAGAGGGCCAGGGAAGGTCGTGGGCTGCGTGGAGCAGCACCTGCTTTTGGACGGTCTGCTGCCACCTCGTTGCCCTGCTTCTCCTTTCCATGCTCTGAGGGGTGACCTTCTGGGCTCTTCATCTGGTGCACATGTGGGGGTGGGGCCACAGTGCCAAGAAGGACAGTGTTAATATCTGGGACAGGATTCCTACCAGGGGAGCCTTTCAGGACCAGCCTTTCAGGGCACCATCACTGGTTCAGCATATTCTAAAATTACAGTTGTTTGGGTTTCTTTGTGGGTCCTAGCATCTATTTGGAAGCTCCTAATGAGGGTTTCTCTTTATAAAAAGGCTTGCATGAATCAAGGAAGGCTGAAATTTACCCTGAGACGGGAGACAGTTGGTCTGAAGTTCTTTCAGCCAAAACCTCCCAAGTGGGACAAATGGCTGCAAATTGGCATCCCTGGGTCACTGCAAGTGAGGAGGGAGGGAGTGTGGGGGTGGGACATGCCCACTCTCTTTGTTTCTCATCAGTGTCTGCTCATCTTCTCTAGGGGACACATAGGAGTGATGGAGGGGAACCTCAGTGCCCAGTCATTCCCTGATCTTGGAGAATAGGAGTCTAGACTTAATGCTGAAATATTCCCAGCAGCCTGGTTTGACTGCTTCGTGATGGGTTGAGCATGGACTAGGTCTGCATGATTTTTAAGGCTCTGAACTTGATAGTGGGGCCACAAGCTTTCCTGCCGTAGGCGTGAGGTATTGGGACTATAGAACTCTGGTAGAGAGACAGGGCTGAGCAAAAGGGGATAAGGCTAGGGTTCTGGCTTGTGAAAGGTCTGTGTGTGACTTCCGGAAGATTCTCCAACCTTTCTGTAGCATGATCTCCATGGTAGGTAGAAGGAGAAGGGATCATTTCTTTGAGGTCTTTCTGAGTGTGACAATGGCTAGGGCAATAATATAATATTACTGTGAACACCTAAGTCTCAGGGAAGAGTGGCCCAGGGGTGGGTACTGCCTGCCTGTGGTCCCCATTCCTTCTAATCTGGTCCAACGAACTCCTGCTAGCCTCCTCCCAGACTGTCCTGGACTCAGGCTTCTGCAACAAGCCTGGGAAGGCTGGGGCCCAACTCTTGCAGATGCCACCTGTCCAGGGGACAGACTGGAGGGCATGGGGACCCTACTCCTTGCTCCCCCAGCAGCCCCAGAGGGCAAAGGAGGGGGGTAGGGCCAGTGCCTGTGTACCTTACAGTTCACAGCTGCCTTGAGCTGATGATACAGCATCTACCCAGCCAGGCGAGTCCACCAAACATAAACATCTGCTCCGCCTTGCCACCTCCCAGGCAAACAGCCCAGCTGTCTTGTAGGGCAAAGAGGTCAGGAGGTCCACATCAGCCTGGGAGCTGGTCCTCAGCAGCTCCCCCTCCCTTAAGGGAGCAGGGGCCTGTTTCCTGCCACAGCCCACACAGGACGCCTATCTCAACGGCTCTGGGTGGGTGGCTGGCAGAGTGGCTTCCCTTGAAACCCTGGGGTGGAGGCTTAAGGCCCCCAGTGAGAGTGAGCCCTGCTGTTGGGGAGGAACCAAGACACAGAGGCAGGTTCCCTTGAAGAACTCACAGCATGATCCAGCACAGCCATCTCAACCTTGCAGAGGAAGAGAGTGAGCTTTGAGCCCGCTCAGCATCTCTTTCAAAATTCTTGATACATGCTCACTCCCAGGGCACAGATGGCGGATAAGCAGACCCTACCTGCTTCCCAGGGCACTCCTGCAGAGGGAATGGACTGCAGAGAGCTGTCTTACAGCTGTCCCAGGCCCTGGGAGTTGTGTCTAATTGCTGAGCTTTTTCTCAGGTTCTAAAATTCCCCAGGTGGGCCTGCCTGCTGGGTAGCAACAGCCTCTGGAATGAGGGGCTTGGCCCACAGCTGCCCTGAAGGAGCAAAGCAATGCTCGGAGCCTGGGGATGGGAAGGGGCAGCACTTGGGGGCTGCAGGCTGGAGACCTAAAGAACTTCAAGTCTAAGGCCTTGAAACTGTTGTCAGGTCTCTGACAAGAGCTTGACTCGAAAAGTTGCCTAGCTGCTAGCCAGGGTCTGCAGAGGTCCCCGTTTCCTGGCACTTCCTAGAAATAAGGTGCAGGTAGCCCTAACCAATGTGAGTGGAGGGCTCAATTGGTCAGAAGAAAATTGTGTTGGAGTCCGCAGGGGTGGGGGCAGTCGTTCAGTTCTCTCTCCCTTGCCGGTACCCATCCACCCGCCCAGATGCCTAGAGGCTGGGATGGTCCCAGGGGCTATGTCCTGATGCTCCCTCCCTCCTCTTGGGAGACCCAGCTGCCTGGGTTGGATTCACCTTGCCCGTGAGATCGTAGCTCGGACTGCAGGGCGGGGAGCGCTCGGCGGCCTCGTCATCCCTGGAGGCGGCGGCGCCAGGCGTGCCCGTCATGTCCCCTGACAGGAGGTGAGCTGGGGCAGGCTGGCCGGCCAGGGTGAACGCGAAGCCGCCCCGCCCCGTGCTCCACCCACTCCTTCCTCGCCTCCTCCGCGCAGCCTGGACACTGCCAGGCTCCTCCCTCCGCCCCGCCATCCACTATATGGGGCCAGTTCGGCGCGGGCTGTCGGGCGAGGGCGAGCAGGACTACGGGGTCTGCACCGGGGGTGGGGGAGGCAGGCCCCCTGAGCAACATTAGCCTGGTTTTGTGCTCTTAGCTCAGTGGCCAAGTCCAGCTGCTGGACCAGTCTCCCCAGATCGCCAGCCTCGGGGTTAGGTTCCCCTCGAGGAGCGGGCCCGGGAGACTCCGCCTGCCTGGGAAGATCAGGTCTGGCTTGCGGACCCGCGCGGGGGTTCTCACGGTTGTGGGCAGTGCGGCCAGCAGGCGGCGCCAGAGCTCCTGCCACCTGGCCCTCTTTATCCTGTGGTGAGTGGGAATGGAAAAGGTTGGACATTGGTGTGATATCCAGAAATAGCAGAGAGATAAAGTCACTGTGCTGCGTCACTGTGCTAGTTCAGGTCCACTCATCACACCGAGCCAAGAAGTCAGGAACACGGGGGAGGTACATGGGCTCTCCTTTGGGAGATACCTGTTTGGCTCACTGGGTCTGCAGCATGGGGGCAGTATATATGAGGAGTGGGCTGCACACTGTCCCTTGGGGTGCTGTAATGTCCTGAGTGTATTCAAGGGCAGCCTTGAGCGAGTCAGAAGCAGGAGGGGGTCAGGGAGGTTCCGCGTGAGCCGCATAGAAGAGGGACTCACTACAGGGCGGGAGCTCTTTAGATGTGGTCTTCAGGAGAGGGTTGATCTAGAATACAACACCCAGGCCTCCTCGCACCCACTCTGATGCTGTGTATGCCCGTGGCAGCCAGTGTCTCCCCAACATACACCCCTCACAACAACACCCCACAAATACTACAAACTCATATGCTTCCCACAAACACACACTCTCCATATCATACCACACAAAGCACATACGTTTTGTATCCATCTGTAAACCCATGGCTTGTGCTATGACACACCCCTCATATGGTAGGACACACACAAGGCCCTCTTTATCCTGGGTCTTACACAATGCACGTGCCCCTCCCACATGCTTCACTTCTCCCCACACATGTATCTCTCTTCACCCCAGACATGCACACACCCTGTCTCCGTTCACACCCTGCCATCAACGCACACATCCCATCTCTACACAGACACGTCCTTCAAACCCACCTTCTGTCATCAGGACATGATATGCACGTATCACTTCCAAACGGAATACCCCACAAGTTGCCCCCAACTCTTGTCATCACCCCCAGATCTGAAATGCATATACATCATCCCTGCCCTCCTGCGCCATGGGTCACACCTGCCCCTGTCACATAGCACTCCTGGGAGAGAAGGTGCCGAGGGACACAGGAACCCCTCCTGCTCATTCACAGGTGGCCTCTGCGATCAGCCAAGGCCATCTGGAGAGACTTCGTGACATCCAGGTAGATGGAAGAAACACCAGCGCTGGGGAGCAGTGTGGCCCAGCAGGCTTGGGATGTACAGGGGACACTAGACCAGAGACTGGAGGGACAAGGCCTGAACTCAGGTTCTGCAAATGGTGGCACAGGGACCACCTGACCAGAGCCCCCAGGTGCACATCAGGATGCTGACTCTGGGTCCCCATCTGGTCTTGCCGAATCAGATGTCTGTGGGTGGCTCTGCTTGGAGCCTGCCTTTAAGTACACTGAACAAGGGTTTGGAAACCACGGCCTAGACTCTGTGACAGCTGCACCAGCAGGTGAAGGGTGTGGCGTTTTTTGGAAGGCAGCAGTGAACCACTGAAGTTTCAGGCGGGAGAGGAGCAGAGCAGGGCTTTGGGAAGATGAATTTTGCAGCAGGACTCGAGAGTCTGGAGAAACTGGGGTAAGATATAAGGGAGAACTGACCTGGGGTGGGACAGGGACGGCGGTACGGCTCACGGGTGAACTCCATTGACATCAGCCCCTGGGAGCAAACTCACCAGCAGGACTCTGTAGTGAGCTCGGCGGAGTTGGTGCTGCAGGACTCGGGGAGGACCCGGATTTGAGAGGTGCCTACACAGGACGTGCACAGGCCCCGCCTCCGGAAGGCAGTGGGCCTGTTAGTTTCTGGGATGAGGGCATGTCCCAGTTGGCCACCCCACTCCCTTATTTGTCCCCTATCCCTCCCCTGTTGCCCGGGCTGCACTCAGTCCCCTTGGCTACTAGGACCTAGGTGGCCCCTTCTGCCTCGGACGTCTTCACACTGGAGTTCTGCGTATAGCCAGGCCCAGGCCCTGGGCACTCGGATTTGCCAGCTCTGTGTGGTATTTAGAATCTCTGTGTGAATGACCGATGGGTAAACACGGGCCTTGTAGCCTGGCTCTCCAGGGACCCCAGGTGACTGATATTTTAAAGAGACCCCAAACTCTCCCAGCCTCTTCCCCAGCAGGATGGGTGACACCAGCTCTGTGTCGATATCCAGCTGTTGTAAGCACAGGGATGGACGGGGAAGGCGCGGGGGACGCCAGGCGCTGGACAGAGGGGCGGGGAGAGAGCCTCTGAGACGCTGCGGCACTCAGAGCTGGAGCTCTCTCCGTGTCAACTGGGGGCTGTGGCTAGGTCCCTTCAAGCGTCCTCTGTGTGGTTCCTGTCACAGGCTGTGGCCTTCCCTGCCTTCACCTTTGGGAGTTCCCCTGGGCTCAGGTCCCAGCTGTGTCCCCGTTTGTGGCTCTAGGTCATGCCCTTGGTACAGGTGTCCCTCAGTGTCAAGGGCACCCGTTGGGTTGCTCAACGGCGCCAGGTGGATGCCGAGGGGGTGGAAGGCACCCAGGAGAGCGGGGGAGCCCCCTGCCCGGCTCAGGCCGTGTGGGTCCCTCAGTCTGACCACATGCAATTTCCTTCTGCCTCACGCTTCTCGTCAAGCTAATGGCAAAACTCAGAGGTCTCACCCCTGTGGTCTGAGTGCGAGTCAGGGTTTGCGGGCCACACCTGCGTCAACTCACACCCCACCCTCCCAGACAGGCAGAAGGAAGGGCGAGGTGTGGGTGTGACCGCAAGGGTGGACTGAGTGTGGCTGGGTGGACAGCGTGGAGCATCAGGGCATCGGCCCTCTTCCTGGCAGCCGGGTCCACGGCCTCAGGGATTGCCAGGGCAGCCTTGGCCTCGTGGGACTCAGCCCTGCTAGACCCAGCCTGCCCTGGCCCCCGTCTCAGGGCCACTGGGTACTCGGTCTCAGGACAGAGTCCAGGCCAGCTCTCCCTTATCACCCGCTCCTGGATGGCCACCTGAAGCCATGTGCAGACTGGATCTATGAGACCAATGGACAAGCCCAATTTCTGGTTCCCCTTCTCTCTTCCCACCAGCGTGGCGGGCTGCGTCCCAGCCCTGAGCGTGGCCTCCAGGGCCTGATTTGTCCAGGGGCTGGCAGACTTGCATGTTGTCCAGGAGACGACATCTGCTCTTCCTGTGTCCAGAGTGCTAGGATTCTTGGAGCCAACAGTGTGAGCGGGAGGGAGCCCTGGGCCCGGTCCTCCCAGGACCTTAAGGGAACTCGATAGCTGCTGTGGGTGTGTTAATGCCAGGAGGAGAGGTCGAAGGTGCCCATGGAGGGGCTTGAGAGGACCCCCCCAGCCAGAGGTGCCCAGCACGCTGTGCCCAGTAGAGGCAGAGGGCTGAACCGGAGGCCCCTGGGCGTCTCCACTGTGCTCTGGTTTTGCCCTTCCTTTGCCTTTCCAGATCCATCATGGCTGGGGGCTAACCTGGGCAAGCTACACCAAGATAGCCTTTGCTTTCTGCTCCGGGTTCTGATGAGCCAAGGGGGAGCCCCAGAAGGAGGTGCAGGAGTGGAGGAGAACTGGGGAGCAGGGAGAATTGTCTCCCTGGCTACATCCTGGGGGGCGTCCCACAGGCCCATGTGTCCCTCCGGTGAAGGTCACACAGCTCCTGCCAGGTGGCCTGCCCAGCAGCCCTCCTTGTCTTCTGGTGCCCCGTAGGCTCATGGTGGAATGCACTCCCACCCCCACACCACCCGGGGACACTGCCCCTCCCTCTTGGTCACCACCACTTGCCTGCACCTTGAGAAACAGTCTTTTCATTCAGTCTCCTTGAACAGCCCCGCAGGAGTGCCCACCAGTTTCTGTCTGGCACCCTGATTGACACATAGAGACCCACAGCCCACGCCCAGACCCCGCAGCGCCAACGAGTGCTTACTGTGAATCCGATGCCCACGGTGGCTGAGAAGGAGCCCGGAATGAACTTGCCCTGGTCAAACTGGACCAGCAGAGATGTCTTCCCCACACCGCTGTCGCCCACCAGGATGGTCTGAAAGGGAGCAAAAGAGAGGGCTGAGGGCTGCAATGGGGGTATGGCCGGCAAGAACTGGTTCCTTGTAGACAGACAGACAGACAGACACACACACACACACATACACTTAATTTTCCATTGAAGTCACTGAAAAATGCACAAAGACTAGAAGACATCACATCCCAGCCCACATTCAGGAACGGCCTAGGTGACCATGAGAACGTGCTCATGACGTCCAACATGGGGCCATATGTGACTCTGGGTCTCTGCTGCTATGCTGAGGCCCAACACTGCCATGTACCCTGAGGCCACACTTCCCACGGGCCTTTCCCAGGCCAGCAGCTGTGGCAGGCCTGTTCCTGGAGACAGGGACTCCTCTACAGGAGGCTTCAGCTTCAGCTTGGGGACCCCTCACATGGTATCCAGCCTGCATGGTGGCCTAAGGCTCCCCGGGGCTCCAGGCTCCCTGGTTCCTTCCCCATTTCCCTAGGTGGTTCCCCTGATAAAAATCCTTGCACATTTCATTCCCTTTTGGCATCCGCTCCTGGGAAGACCAGAGCTAACACAATGCCCATGGATCTGCCGCATGTGCTACCCCAGGAAAAGCAAAAACAGATCAGTCTGTGAAATAAAGCAAAATCGAGATGTCTGGTGTGTGCCTTGGGAGGATTTCTCAGTGGGCCCTGTAACAAGGCCG